CTTGATGTTGATGGCTGCTGACTAATCAGGGTGGTGTTTGCTAAAGATTAAGGCAGCTGTGGCCATTTCTTAAAATAATACAGTAATGAAGCTTGCCACATTGATTGATTCTTCCTTTCATGAAAGGTTTCCCTATAGCATAAACGCTGTTTGATAGCATTTTACACACAGTCGAACTTCTTTCAAAATTGGAGTTAATCTTCTCAACCCCTGACACTGCTTTATCAACTATGTTTATGTAATACTCTAAATCCTTTGTTGTCATTTTAACAACAGTCACAACATCTTCACCAGGAGTAGATTCCATCTCAAGAAACTACTTTCTTTGCTCATCCATAAGAAGCAACTCCTTATCTGTTCAAGTTTGATCATTAGATTGCAGCAATTCAGTTACATCTTCAGACTTCACTCCCAATTCTAGTTCTCTTGCTATTTCCACCACATCTGGAGTGACTACCTCCCCTGAAGTCTTGAATCCCTCAGTCATCCATGAAGGTTGGAATCCACTTCTCCAAACTCCTGTTAATGTTGATATTTTGACTTTAACCCATGAATCACAAATGTTCCTAATGGCATCTAGATTGGGGAGGGGTGGTGTAGGGAATGCAAGACTGTCTTTTTTGCCCCCAGTGTTAAAGCCTATCGGAGAAATTTAACAAAGATATTGAAATAATAAAAAAAAATCAAGCAGAAATTCTGGAACTGAAGAATTCAATTAACAAACTGAGAAATACTTCAGAGTCTCTCAACAGCAGAAATGACCAAGTAGAAGAAAGAATCAGTGAACTTGAACACAAGCTACTTGCAAATAAATAGTCGTAAGAGAAAAAAAGAAAAAAGAATAAAAAAGAATGAAGCACACCTAGAAAACAGCCTCAAAAGGGAAAATCTAAGAGTTATTGGCCCTAAAGAAGAGGCAGAGTCTTTATCAAAAAATCCCCAAACAACAAATGCTGGCGAGGATGTGGAGGGACAGGAACACTCTTACACTGCTGGTGGGACTGCAAATTAGTGCAACCTTTGTGGAAAAGAATTTTGAGATACCTCAAAGAGCTAAAAATAGAAATACCATTCGATCCAGCAATAGCACTATTAGGGATCTACCCAAAAGAACAAAAGACATTCTATAATAAAGACATCTGTACCCGAATGTTTATGGCAGCACAATTCACTATTGTAAGGATGTGGAAACAACCAAAGTGCCCATCAATTCATGAGTGGATTATTAAAATTTGTTATATGTATACAATGGAATATTACTCAATTATAAGAAACGATAGTGATCTAGCACCTCTTATATTTTCCTGGATTGAGCTTGAGCCCATTATCTGAAGTGAGGTAACACAAGATCGGAAGAATAGACTCCACTTGTACTCGCCATCAAATTGGAACTGACTGATCAACACTATGGTGCTCACATGGTAGTAATATTCTCCAGGGATAGAGGGTTGGGGGGGTAAACTCACAACTAAAGGACACGGTGAGCATTGTGGAGGGGAAGGGCATGTCTCTAACCCTCGCTAGGGAGAGGCAAGGATATAAAATGTAACCAAAATGTTTGTACCCTCCTAATACCCTGAAAGAATAAAAGGAATAAAAAGATATACATATATACAATTTGTACTAAAGAAAAAAAAAAAGAAGAGGCAGAGAAAGACTGGGGTAGAAAGTTCATTTGAAGAAATAATGACATTCAAGGATAGATGCCTTTATAATATAATGTCTTTTTTTCCTTTGGGAAATACCCCATAGTGGGATTGCTGGATCAAATTGGTAGTTCTACTTTTAGTTCTGTGGATTAATAATGTGGTATATGTATACCATGGAGTACTACTCAGTCATAAAAAACAATGGGGAACTAATAACCCTTTGTATTATCCTGGATGGAGCTGCAGCCCATTCTTCCAAGTGAAGTATCACAACAATGGCAAAACAACCACCACATGTACTCACCATCAAATTGGCACTAATTTACCAACAATTATATGCACATATAGAAGTAACATTCATTGAGTATCGGGCAGGTGGGAGGAGAAGGAGGGGATAGGTATATTCACACCTAATGGGTGCAATGTGCACTGTCTGGGGGATGGGCATGCTTGTAGCTCTGACTCAGGTGGTGCAAAGGCAATATATATAACCTAACCATCTGTACCCCCATAATCTTCTGAAATTAAAAAAATAAATAAATAATAACAGAGAACTTCCCAAACCTAGAGAAATATATCAATATTCAGGTACAAGAAGGTCATAGAACACCAAGTAGATTTAAACCAAACAAGACTATCTGAAGGCATTTAATAATAATCAAGCTAATAATCAAACTCCCAAAGTTCTTGGATAAAGAAAAGGTCCTAAGGGAAGCAAAAAAAAAAAAGAGAGAGAGAGAGAAAGAAATAACATATAAAGGAGCTCCATTACCTCTGGCAGCAGACTTCTCAGTGGAAACCTTACAGGCCAGGAGAGAGTGGCATGACATAGTCAAAGTGCCAAAGGAAAAAAACCTTAACCCTAGAATATTATATCATGACAAAAATATCCTTCAAACATGAAGGAGAAATAAAGACTTTCCCAGACAAACAAAAGCTGATGGATTTCATCAACACCAGACCTATCCCACAAGAAATGCTAAAAGGAGTTCTTCAACCTGAAAGGAAAGGACATTAATGAACAATAATAAAACAAAACATCTGAAGGTATACAACTCACTGGTAACAGTAAGGACACAAACACAGAATACTCTATTGCTGTAATTGTAGTATATTAACCACTTATATCTTGAGTAGAAAGACTAAAAGATAAACCTATCAAAAATAACTGCAACAAGTTTTTGAGAGACAGTATAAAAAGATACAGATGTAAACAACAAAATGTTTAAAAAATGGGGGGGTGCAGTTAGAGTGCAGAATTTCTGTTAGGTTTCTCTTTGCTTGTTTGTTTGTTAGAGTTGTCATATGTTTAAAATAATTGGTTATGAAATGTTTTTTACAAGCCTCATGGTAACCTCAAATCAAAAAACGTACAACAGATACACAAAAAGTAAAAAGCAAGAAATAAAACAGAGTACCAGAGAAAAATCACTTTTAACAACGGAAGACAGGAAGGAAGGAAGGGAGGACCACAAAACAACCAGGAATCAAATAATAACATGGCAGCAAAAAGTTCTTACCAACGTACAACACTGATCAATTAAGTTCACCATCATATCATGGGCGCAGTTCACAGTACCCCAAAACAATTACGGTAGTAACATCAAAGATCACTAATCACTAAAACAGATATAATAATAATGGACAAGTTTGACACACTGCAAGAATGATCAAAATGTGACACAGAGACATGAGTGAACACGTGCTGTTAGAAAAATGGTCCCGATAGACTTGCTTGACATAAAGATGCCATGGACCTTCAATTTGTAAAAAACCCAGTATCTGCAAAGTACAATAAAGCAAAGCACAATAAAACTAGGTATGCCTGTAGTTCTCATTTCTGTAGAAGGTAATACCTTCCTTGTTCATCTCAGTGAAATTTACAGTAATAATGATGAAACCTCCAAGGTACTATCCATGCAGGGATCAGGAATCTCTATCCAGGAAAAGAGGGTAGAATCTAGAAATGTCCCAGTATGAACTAGGCTTTTCTTTCTTTTAATGTAAATGTCCCAAATTAACACCAGAGTAGTGACACATGGGTGGAAGCTGAAAAGGCTCAGAAATAAAGGGATAAAGAGATTATAGAGCCCACATAATAAATTTATAGAGATTTCAAGGGAACAATACCAAAGACAGGCATACTAGTACAAAAAGGATGCCCTGAAAATAGATAAATAAATAAAAATATGCTATTAATTCAGTGATAGGCTATGAAAGGATTCTCCCTATGTGGGACAGAGACATCAATAGAAGATATTAGTAGTCTATAGAAACCATAGTGATCTATGAGAAAAATAATAGTGAAAAAGTCTCTGTTAGAAAACAACACATTAGAAATAGGAGCTAATATCACCTTGAAATATTTTTAACAAATTCCTAATGTTCATTAAATTTGTGTTTTATCCTATGTTCTCTGAACTAAACTGATGTACTAACCGAGGTTTATATTATTCTCTTTATATAAAAACCTTTTTATTTTACCAAATTAAATCATATTTCTGTTTCTCTTTCAGTCCTAATGAAGATGTTTCCATTGTACTGCTGGACTGAGTTATTTACTGAGTCACTCATCAATTACTATTAGTAAAATATTTTAATGACTTAAGACAGTAGTCACACAATTTGCTGTAAATTTGCTTTTCAGTTACGTGGTTTCATTGTTGAGTTTACCCAATCCCTAAGAAAAAAGAGCCAGGCACATGGTGGCACACACCTGTAGTCCCAGGTACTCAGGAGGCTGAGGCAGGAGGATCGCTTGTGCTCAGGAGTGTGAGGCTGCAGTGCACTATGATCACACCTGTGAACAGTCACTGTATTCCAGCCTGGGCAACAAAGCAAGACCCTGTCTCTAAAATAAAATTATATGTGTGTGTATAATACACATTTGCTTCATTAAAAAAACCATACTGCTGATTGTGGCTGACAAGTTATTATTGTCTCTCTGTTAAAGAGACAGAAAATGAGGTTGAGGGGAGGGAGCAGCATGTGAGCAGGAACCCAAGCACAATGGAATCACTTCAATCCAGATAAAATCAAAGGAGAAAGAAGGAGAATGCCAGAAAAGCAGAATGGAATTCACAGATCTAAAGAGAAAATGCTTAATTCATCACCTTGGTAAGTAAGAGTTGTGTATTCAACAGGGAATAAACCCCTTGATGGCCCATCATTTGCCCAGAAGATACACAGAGAGTCAAGACAGGTAACTCGAAGGCCAGCATTTCCCTCGCTCGCCTCTTTTGGCTGGCCATGCCTCATGGGACAGCAGGAGCCATAACGTTGGATGGCACAAAGCCCCACCAAACTGACTCTCAATTGTCAGACTATCTGGCAAAGGGGAGGGATGCTTACTTGGGTATCACGGGAGAAGATGATCTCTTAGAAACGCCTCCAGAAAACTCGCATCTTCTCAGAGGGGATCCAAGGCCACCAGTGGGAGTAGAAGTTGTCACTCGCTGCCCCCTCTTTTTCTCCGTCTGTAGGGGACATAGAACAGGATAGCCACAGCCCATGACTGGCACTACCCCTCCCCCCTGTTTCTAAAAATAATACCCCAGATAAAACAATGTACAGCTTTCTTTTAGAGGGATGGATATAAAGCTGTGTTGATGCTTTGCATGATGGGAATCTTTGCAGGGAGGCACTATGAGCTCAGCACATTTAGGTTACCCAGTAATGCCAGGCACACTGGTGTGTGCCTGTAAGCCCTGCTACTTGGGAGGCTGAGGTGGGAGGATCGCTTGAACCCAGCAGTTGGAGACCAGCCTGGGCAACATAGTGAGACCCCATCTCTAAATAAATTAATTACATAATAGGTTTAAATAATTTTCAGCCTCAAATCTCAGCCTCAGCAGAGATTTTGTTCTCCTTGTTATCTTGCAAAGATCTAACAACAGAACCATACTATGGTCCTGGACATATGGGAAGTAGAAAGAGTACAAAGATGTAAAATCACTACAGAAAATTACAAGTGTGTGAGATGTGGTTATAACATCCAAGACAGCGGGCTATGGGGCCTGACGGTACACATGGTATTATGGGGACTGCAACCCCACCCGGTCCTCTACGTCTTCCCCATCGCCTCCCTTGACAGAAAGCAGAAGAGAATGGACACCAGCGCTGAGCCCACAGAAGGTAGTCCTTATCACGCTTTTCTGCGGTAAATCCTCATACGGCCCCCACACCCACATCTGTCAACCCCCTCCTATGACAATCCACCCTACAGAGCCTGAAACATGCATATCTCTATTAAAAACCTCAGTGCCACAATGGATTTGAAAAGAAAATACGGTATTACAAAATGCCCAATAGTATAGTAGTCATGTGGCAGTTTTAAAATAAGTGCACACATTATTTCATACTACTCTCTTCAATAGGTGAAACTTTATTCTTCCCTCCCATTGAGTGTGGCTTGATCTGAATGACTTTTAGTGAATAGCATATGGCAGAAGCGACAGGTTGGGCGTAAAAGGTATTGCAGCTTCCCCCTTGCACTCTCTCTTGGATCCCTTGCTTTGGGGGAAGCCAGTTGCCACATTTGGATACTCAGGCAGCCTTATGGACAGTCTCAAACAGTGAGCTGCCTAAGAGGCCCACTCAAGCTTTCAGATGATGCAGCCCTGTCCACCATCTTGACCACACCCTCATGAAAGACCCTGTAGCAGAACCACCCAGCTAAGCCACTCTCGGTTTCCGTCCCCAAGAACCTGTGAGTTAGTATTTGTTGTTTTAAGCTGCCAAAGTGTGAGGTGATTTGTTATGCAGCAATTGATAACTAACAAAAATAGCATGGCGTATATAATTTCTAAATAAATATACATAATTGGGGGGGCACCTGCTCGACATTAACTTTGCTGATGGTGTCAGTGTGCCATCGAAAATGTTTAAAGACTACTGTTGTGGGTGAAAGTTGAACTAGGACCTCAGTTCTGGTTACCCTCAGAGGCAAGACTAGCTCAGAATGAGATATCTGCAAAGAAGCAGAGAAGATACTTGGACCATTTCTTCTGACTCCTATCCCCTGGAGGGCAGACTATAATAACAAGGACGTCATTAAGAATTTGCTCCAAGCCCCTAAGATTTAGGAGGGTCCACAAAGTTAAATGATTTTGAAAGGTTGGGGAAAATTTTAAAGCAAATCCATCCTGCCCTTTGAGCTGACCCTGGATGGAACAGAGAGCCCAGGTGAATCGCAGGAAGTAATCACATTGTCAGATAAGCCACAGTCTGGAGGAGTGGGCAGGTGGATGGGTTTAAACCTACCGGAGAGGCCTCTGCTCCTGCAGGGGTTCCTTTTCCAGCATCTCCTGCGCCAGGTGTAGATGTGGCCTTCTTCCTCTCAGTGTTTCGAGTGGGAGAAGACTTGTAGGAAGATTTAAGAGAGCCAGCAGGAGCTATACGAGGACAGGTATGAAATACTAGAAAGTTACAGTATAACAGCCACAGAGACAGGGAGTACAGAGGCGAAAAAGTAGGGAGAGCAGGGAGTTGGGAAGAACACACATTTCTGTTAAGATGAGACCTGGGCAATCCATATTCTCAAGATACCATACTTTATTATTGTACACAGAATGGATCCTGTACTACAAAAGGCTCCCATACTCAAGAGTCAAGTTCATTTCAGGTGTTAGAAGTCTGCACTTTGGAGTCAGGCAGACCAGCACTGCCACCTAATAGCTGGATCACCTTGGGCAGGTTACTTAACCTCTCCAAACATCAATTGCCTTCTGTGCAGTAAAGAGTTATCATAGCAGGCCTGACTGCTGTCCTTCAAAAGGCCCACTTACAAGGCTGGCCCTTGGCCGGCATCTGGGGATGTGGATTTCAGGAGGGTTCCCACTATTAACTGATGAGTGCTGAAACTGTGTAAACAATATGGTTTATGCTGAACACTTGCTTTCCTTTGGGGAGTCTGGAATTTGGGTGTGTGCCTGGCAGGGGATGCCTACGTCATCAGCCCCCAGTAAAATCCTCGGGTACTGAGTCTCTAGTGAGCTTCCCAGGCTGGCAACATTTCATGTGTTGTCACAACTCGTTGCTGGGAGAATTAAGCACAACCTGTGTGACTCCACTGGGAGAGGACTCTTGGAAATTTGCACCTGGCTTCCTCTAGCCTTTGCCCCACGTGCCTTTCCCTTTTGCTGACTTTGCTCTGTCCCCTTTTACTGTAATAAATCATAGCCATGAGTACAGCTGTAGCCAGAGTCCTCTGAGTCCTCCTGGTGAATCATGAAACCTTGGGGGTGGTCTTGGGACTCCTGACACAATCAGTGTCAGAAGGGGAAATTGGCAGATTGACCTGGATTCACTGAAATATGGTGAAAAGCATTGTTTGGGAAAAATAAGGATAAAGGGGCAGAAGACAATGAACTTGTGGAGCCGGGGTGGCTATGAAGTCATCCATGCTATGAAACAGCAGCCAAGCTGCTGTCTGTTGAGAAAGATAAAAGCTCCCTGCAGGATTTGAAAGTGACCGATGCAGCTCCCAGAGACTTGGCTTCACGGGTTCCCTGGATGCCTTTGGCCCTGCTAGCTAAAGTGAGGGAGGAAATACAGCTGAACACATTGATACCTTTGGTTTTTGTTTGTCTTCCAAGTAGAAGTGGGACATAACTTCCTTGTTTTTTGCCACCAGTGGGTAGGTTGGAATTTAAACTCTTGAGTACTGGAACCAGAACAAGTCTCCATAACTGACCTTTTTTTGCTGTAACTTTTGCCTAATGGAGCCTCTGGAAAAAGGGAGATGTGAGAAGAGAGACAACTTCCAGATAGAGACATGCTTTTGGAGTTTTAAAAATCAACTAGGGGGCCAGGCGCGGTGGCTCACACCTGTAATCTTAGCATTATGGGAGGCTGAGGTGGGAAGACTGATTGAGGTCAGGAGTTCAAGACCAACCTGAACAAAAGCGAGACCCCATCTCTACTAAAAATAGAAAACTTAGCCAGGCATGGTGGCATGTGCCTATAATCCCAGCTACTAGGGAGGCTGAGGCAGGAGGATCGCTTGAGCCCAGGCGTTGGAGGTTATAGTGAGCTATGATAACGCCACTGCACTCTAGCCTGGGTGACAGAGAGAGATTCTGTCTACAAAAAAAAAAAAAAAAAATCAACTAGAGACCATTCCAGATATGGAACAGCCCTCCATGGGGCCCGAAACTATGAAAATATCCTGGATGCTGGACTGTCCTGGTCACATACAAGTGCCCACAGGACAGTGTGTATTCTCTGATGGGGCCATCTAAAAGCAAGCTGCTCCCTGGCTCTGGATTTCTGATGCAAAGCCTGACCGCATTCCCAACTTGTGATTCCTGCAAAAGTTGTAAGTTAAGAAGGGACATCACAGCAATGTGCCTTCACCCACCCCCGACAGATCAGACCACAGCCCCTCTCGGGATGTGTCACTGCCATTGACATCTTGTGTTTGAACAACAGAGAGCCTGACTCTACTTCCCTCACCTTTCTCCCGCCACACACACCTTAGCAAGGCAACTTGTTAAATGCAGCTGTTCTCAGTAAGGGAGTGATCTTTTCTAGGCTGTTCACTGTATAAATGACCAGGATGAAAAGGAGAGAAAGTAATACAAACCTATCTTGAAATTTTTTGAAAATTTAGAATTTTGTCCTGATACTCAAACATGATGTGTTTTTCTGGTCACGTTGGATAAAAAAATTTTTTTTAAAAAAAATACTTTTTCCTTTCTTTGAAAAGCCTGGGTGAGAGTAGGGCATGACAGAGAAAATGTAAAGTTTTGATTACTGACTACCATATTTTCCCGAAAATAAGACCTACCCATAAAATAAGCCCTGGCAGGATTTCTAAGCAATAGAAGCCCTACCCCAAAAAGAAGACCTAGTGATGGGCGTGGGTTGTATCTGTACAACCCATGCATTTCCTCGTGGAGTGGTAAAGAAGACGAGCAGCCCTTCTCATCTGCCCCATCGTGACAGCTACTATCCCAGAGGGGACCAGAAAGGTGCGGGCAGCCCCACCAACAAGGTCGGCTCCCCCTGTCAGGTCCTGGCCATCCTGTGTGTGCTGCAAGCTGAGGCTTTGAGGGGAAAATAACACATCCCCTGAAAATAAGCCCTTGGGGTGTCTTCTTGAGGAAAAATAAATATAAGACCCTGTCTTATTTTCGGGGAAACATGGTAGGACATGGAAAAAAACAACAAAACCTGGCACTTGCGGTGGTATGGGGGAGGGGAAGGACATTTGTGATCTCTGTTTTCCAGAAGCACTCCTGGAAGCTCTCCCCTCTTCATGAAGGGAAACTCCCAGTGGTGCTGCAAGCGCCTTGGATTCAGACGGACAACTGAGCCTAGATGGCTGGCATGTGACAGCATTGACTATGAGCCGGCAGGGGTGGGCCAGCTGCTGCACGTCCCCACAGAACTCCTCCAGATGCTGTCCGCATTTGCCAGGCAGATGAAGTAGGGCCGCTGACAGAACTGTTTGGGACTGACGACCTCAGGGGGGTCCTTAAACCAGGGACTGAACCGAATCACTTGCACTGGACTGAGCACCCTGGGGTGGGAGGCACCACGTGGGAAGCCGCTTTGGGGCTGCCCGGCCAATGCATATCCTGCCCGGGGCACCCTAACATGATCAGCTCTGTTTCCAGGGGACCACACGAATCCCCGGGGATTGCACTTCTTGTGTGTGCCATGACTATCACGATACTGCCTCAGCCCTGGAAGGTGTTCGGGTCAGCTTCGACTTACTGGCCGGGGCTGTGCTGGGTCTAAGTTGATGCCTCGGGCCAAGTAAAAAGATTCATACAGCAACTGACTGAGGAAGAGACCTAGCTGTCCACGACAGACTTTTATGGTTAATGGATTTGCTTTAACTGTTCAGTCCAGAATCCCGAAAGAACACAGCTGAGATCAATACTGCAGGTTGGTCTCACCCTGCTATGTGGCGTCCTACTGATGATAATCTTCTGTAAAGGCGCCTTGGCCAAGGGGTCAAGGGGTAGACTGTGGGTAAACTGTGCAAAAAAGAGTTAATATAGCAGGTCTGATTGCTGTCACCAGAAAGGCCTGCGTACAAGGTTGGCCCTTGACATGCATCTGTGAACTTAGATTTTGGGAGGGTTCTACCGTTAGCTGGAGAGGGGCTCACTGTGCCTAAACTGTTTGTACAAACAATATGGTATGTGCTGAATACCGGCTTTCCTTCCAGGAACCTGGAATTTGGGTATGTGCTGGGCAAGGGGTACATGTGACCAGCCCCCAGGAAAACCCTGGGCATTCAGTCTCTATCAAGCTTCCCTGGTTGGCAACATATCATTCATGTTATCACAACTCACTGCTGGGGAAAAGGCATCCTGAGTGGCTCCACTGGAAAGGACTCTGTCTGGAAGCTTGTGCCTGGTCTTCCCTGGACTTTGTCCCGCGTGCCTTTGCTGATTTTGCTGTGTATCCTTTTATTGTAATAAATCACAGGTGAGTACAAATATATCATAAGTCCTGTGAGTCCTCCTAGCCAATCACTAATCCTGGGGTTGGTCTTAGGGAGCCCTGGTACATTCCTCATTCTCAAAATGGAGATACTCCCTCCTTGCTAGGGCTTTTTGTTTGTTGGAGATATAATTCATATACCATAAAATTCATGCTTTAAAAAGTGTACAGTTAGGTGGTTTTTAGTGTATCACAAGGCTGTGCGACCATAACCACAGTCTAATTCCGGAACATTTTCAAAAACATTAAAGATAAAGAAACTCCTTATCCAATAAGTAGTTATTCCCTTTTCTTCCTTCCCCCAAGTCCTTGATAACCACTCATCTATTTTCTGTCTCTATGGATTTGCCTATTTCAGACATTTAAGATAAATGGAATCATATAATTTGTGGCCTTTTGTGACTTGGTTTCTTGCACTTAGCATAATGTTTTCAAGGTTCATCCATCTTGTAGCATGTATCAGTACTTTGTTTCTTTTTACAGCTAAATAATATTCTACTGTATGGATATATCACATTTTGTTTATCCATTCATCTGCTGATGGATATTTGAGTTGTTTCCACTTTGTGGCTATTTTGAACAAATTGCTGCATAAAAATATGGCTTTAATTTCCTTGGCTCTATACCTAGGAGTGGAATTGCTGAGTCACATGGTAACTCTATGTTAAACTTTTTGAGGAACTGCCAGACTGTTTTCCTACATTCCCACCAGCAGTATATGAGGGTCCATTGTCTCCACACCTTCACCAACACTTGTAATTTCCCCTTTTAAGAAAATTTTAGCCATCCTAGTGGGCATGAAGTGATATCTCATTGTGGTTTTGATTTGCATTTCCCTAATGATTAATCATGTTGAGCATTTTGTCATGTGCCTATTGGCTACTTGTATATCCTCCTTGCAAAAATAGTATAACTGTTTGGAAGCAGCTACAGCCAGGTAGAGCTTTTATGTCATATATATGTCATCACACTGAATATACTATCTTGGGAATGGAGACCAGACCTGACCTTATGTGGATATGGCATTGCTCATTTGCAAACAAAGAGAATGCCAGCCCTCGCTAATCTTGACATGAGGCTTCGATCCGCTTTGTTAAAGTTCTGGTCCAGTGTTTCTCAGATTTTAATGTGCAGGTTGGGTGGGGCCTGAGAGTCAGCCTTCCTCCCAAGCTCCCACGTGATGGTGCTGTTACGCCAATGGTGGTCCTTGTACCACCATTTGAGTAGTAAGACTCTAGACATTTGTTGAGTGCTTACTCTGTGCCAATCATTGTGCTACCTCAGTTGCATGCATTATCTCATTTAATCCTTATAACAATTTAAAATAACTCTATTTTATAGATGGGCAAACTGAGGCTTAGAGAAGTTAATTAACTCACCCAAAATGGTAAGAGTGAGTGAGTGGTAGAGCTGGTTATGGGACTCCAGAGGCTGTGGTCTACAGGCTACTTTGCCAAACCATCTCTTAAGAAAAGTCTGCTAACCTCTATACCTCGTCAAGTGGATTTGTTTTTCTAATGTACATGCCCTGGGTCATAAAATAATTTACTCACCTCTATAACACTTTAAAAAACACAGAACAGCAAAACACTGGTGGGTAGAAAATGTTATTAACCACTGAAGACATTTCACAAAGCCAGCAAATGGAAAGCAAAATACAAAAATTCAGGAATAAATCATAGGCCGACCAACACCTCTTCGGGCATTTTTCTTGGTGTCACCAGCTTGGCCTCTTTTACCTGAGTCACTGGTCTGCTCAGAGAGCATAAGTGCACTTCTGCTTCTGGCTAAAGAAGCCTGTGTGGGTGTCAACAGTCGCATAACAAGAAAGGTTTCCATGGGACTAAGGTGCGTGCGATGAGCTGAGGGATGGAATCAAATGAAAATTTTAAAAAGCAAAATAAAAACAAAATGAAATGTTTACACAATACAGTGCCTGATGCAAATTAACTTTTGGGTGGCAGAACAAATGTGGAAAATAAAAATATTCTAACGAAGGATGGATTTAGAGTTCGTCATAGTAAAATAAAACAAATGATATGTCATTTAGAATTTGGGACAGTGCATTAATTATCTTGAGTGCCACAATTCACACAGTATGTTATTATGGTACAGTAACTACATCACTCAAGGAGAATTAACCCACCTCCCAAGATGTAATATGGACTCAAGAAATCATTTACTCACCAAGTAAATCTAACATTAAAAAAAAGATTATGCCTACATACCACTTGTTTTAGACTCTCTGTTAAGAAATATTTCATAATGTATTGATTTTTTAAATGAAATATGTCATCCTATAATAGAATAAAGATACATCCTTTCACACTTTTTCCACATACAAGGCCAAAAATTAAGTGAGAAGCACAAAAAAAACCCCCATCCAACTGATTATCAGCTTTAATGAAAGATAATAGTATTCATAATCTAAAATTCAATTACTGGAATATTTTGATCATTTTGTAATGTATTATATGGCAACAGATTAACTTTTCCATTACCCTGTATCCTTTCGGTGCCTAATAACTAGCAAATAGTTTGGGGATTAAAATTTTTCAATTTATCATCCATAAGCAGATAATTCAGTTGTCAACAATCTGTAATAACATACTGCCATCTTTATATATTAATCAATGCAAAAATGAATTTAACATCAACCTGGAGCCATGTGAATTAATGAAAACATATGGAATACACTTGCTAATGGAATAGCAATGTTGAGTTAAGCATGTAGGTGTTTTCTTGTCTAGCTCTTAATTACTTCTAAGTTCCTGGTGCTTACCCATGAACTTCATCAGAGATGAGCAGCGCTATGACCTTTACATGGTCCCTAACACACGACATGCCTCTGGGATGGAAGTGCAAGGTCAATGCCAGTGAAACCAACCAGGAAAGCACACCAGCCTCTGCCAAGTCACAAACATCCTCCTGCTTGACTCCTTGGTGATGACTTGATGTGCTAAATACTCCATTGGCACCTGACACTTCTTCAGTGTTGCTTTAATATATGCATTTAGTGCATGGAGAGCTTCTGCCCTTTCTTAACCTAAAAACTCTGAAAAGTATGGATTCAGACTTTCAGTCACTTATCTGAGCCTCTGTTAGAACATGGACCATGTTAAATCTACTCAGGTTCCAGAACTGGCACATGTCCTATGCACATCATCTCCCACCTCAAAACAGAGTGCCTGAAAAGGCCACCCATCCATTTCCTCTTTTAGTGGCCTCATATTAATTAGTTCTGCATTTCTGTTTTCATCTACAAAATAGGCTGGCCTGCAAACCACAGATGACTGCAGAGCCCATTTTTTCACATATCTGAGCCTCCCGCATAACTCTGACTCATCACTTCTGCTCTTTCTCGCTAATCAACTGTATCCCATCACGGACCGGGCAGTTACTTTTTAAAATTCTTTCTCTATTTTATAGCTCATTTGCATGGAAGGACTATGGGCAGTTATTTTTCTAACGGTCATATCTGCCCACTGGTCAATGAATTCCTGGGCAGGATAACTCCTATATGCAATGAGGAAAATGGAACAGTCTTTCAGACTGGCACATATCATTCATTCCTGTCCCTATTCAACAACGAACTGGCTCTGAAGAACACTGCCACTTTCCAAAGTCCCTTTAGCGAGGCCCTAGGGCTCCTACATTCAGACCACAAGGCTAGGACAATGGTGGTGTTTGCAGAAGGCTCAAGAGGGAGCGCTCACAAAGGCCAATGTTGGGACGCTCACACCAGAAACAAACTGGAGAGACCAGGTCTACACGTTCACTTGCCTCGGTCTGGGGAATAGGATATTGCCACGGTGGATGAAGACAGGCGTTTACTCATGGGAGGCTCCGTCTGCTTTGGCAAATTCATGGTTGATGTTGAAAGTTTGTCACATGCTGCAGAGAAATGCATTAAAGACATTGGTATTCGCACCACTGTAGACTGAGAGACACATATCCCAAAGTGTGCTTCCTGTCCTCATCCACACATCTTCTAAATGCTGTGGCGCAGCATGATCTGCTTCCATCGTCCTGGCATCTCATTATCCTAATCTGGAAATGCCCAGGCTACAGCAGCCGCTAATCATCAGCAAGATCTCTGCAATTCCGTCTCACTGTGCTGTTCTCTTCAATTTCCAATGTTCAACCTCACTAAACCGTTCGTCTAAAGCCATGCTAATTAATCCCACCAGCAATTCATTTGGTATCCAGGGATTTTTAAGTATATTCTCATCACATAAAAACAAAACCAACCTGGACCCAGAGACAAATCGCCACTAGGAGCCGTTCTACGGTCTGACTGAGATTGTGTGTGCTGAAACTGAACTTTTTCTGAAGGTTATCTGTAGCTCAGGTTGGAGGAAGATGGAATTTGTAATGTAAGGAGTTGTATGTAAAGCAGAAAGGCCTTTAGCAGTTGGTTTTCTTCCTCTTAGTAATGGATGGGATCAAAATGGCCCTCTCACAAATGCTTTAACTGTTTAAAGTTAGGATTTTAACACTCGCCTCTAGGTTTGCTGTTTTCATGTTCCAGTCATTATTTCAGACTGGTTTCTAAATTAAACCATCACAGCAAACAAAGAGGTGCTGATAGTGCCCTGCCAAAAGCTATGCTGAAGCCTGGGGCAAAAGGAAAAATGTGTCCCCCTGGCTGTAGAGGAAACAAGCTCATCAGTAATATGTTCAAAGTCTACTCCTCTGCTCATCTTGTTTTCAAATAAGAGAACTGCCATGGTTGACAATTTCTGCTGACCAAGTGACGATCTTAATTTTTAATGAAGCTAAAGTAAAAGTACAATATTATTATTATATTATTAAATTTGGTTTGGGGATAAATAAGATATTTAAACTTGAAATAATGCGAGCTTTAATATTCTTACTTTTCAATTTTTCAGTATTTTTTAATATTCTGGAAAAAAATTAAGCATTAGAAAATATATAAAACCATGTATATAGGGGGGCACATTCCCCCCACCCTTTCTTTTTTCTTTCAAAAACAAACCTGTGCGACCAGACACATTTTCCCTTTTGCCTGAGATTCTGCTATGGCTCAGCATGGCACTGGTCTTTAGACATTTGATATTTCATTTGTTATGGATTGTTTTAGATTAATTTTGATTTTTTAAAACTACCACATATTATTTTATCTTGATTATTGACATTTTTGGCACCCTCTTAAATTGTGCGCCTGAATCAAGTACTGCACTCACCTCATCCTGGCCCTGGCCCTGCGTGCTGACTCGCAGTGAGTGCCACATGGAGTCACTCTACCTGCACCTCAGTGGGGGAAGGCCAGCGCCCACACTACAGGCAACTCCACCCTTGCAGCAAAATCTCTGCTACTAAGCACCACCAATAAGGATTATTCTTTGTCAAAGAAATGCCAGAAACCAAGGACATTTATTCCTACTGCTACTGTGACCTGCATTGCTGATAAATACTGTATCCCTCTTACATCTTGTTTTCTCTTTGCCAGCTGAAGATGGGCTAAATTTCTAAAGTTATTATTAAACAGGAACAAAGTTTTGCTAGTTCTGTTCTTGATCTAGACCATAAATATTTCCCAGGCCTGTATCCAAAACAGAGATCCTATTAGAGAGAGATGAAATCTAGCACAAAGCCAAATTATCCAATTTTGGGGATTCCACAGGGTTAGCAATGATAAACTCCCTACCACTCCCTCTCAAACACCTCTGCAGGAATCCATCACATTAACACCAAGCCCAAGGATTGGGCTCTCAGAAGCCACTGGGCTCTCTGTAACCACTCAGAACTCTGTGTGGTTACAAGTTTGGTGATCAGAATGCGCTACTATTTAATGCCTAAAACAGATAAATGATGAGATTTCTAAAGCTCTAGATGTGTACAAATCAAACACTGACAAGGTTTTCAAGGCAAACGTTAGTGAGCTGAGGATGAAATGTCTCCAGGGCACTCAGATGGAAAGCATGCACAGCTCCACAATGACAAGAGGAACAAAGAAATATGGGCATGTCATTCACATCTCTAGAAAAAAAGTTGTGACGGGTCAGACTAAGAAATCAATTGTGAAAGTATTCGAGACGCATGGTGATGGAGGACGGTGATCAGAACTGAACAGTTATCACAAGACACCATGGCACGGTGATGTTCAGGTATACCGTTGGTGGGCTCGGCAGCTGCGGCAGTGGTCCCTGCATCCGGAGGGAGGGTGCTGGCTGCTAAACCTAGAGGAGGGGGTGGGGTATTTCCTGTTTCACCTACACAGCAAAAAAAACAAAACAAAACACAAACACAAACAAAAACAGAGCAAAGAGAGGTAAAAGAAAAAAAAAAGAGTCCCAATTTCTTATTTTTAAGTTTCTAATTAAGAAACTAGAAAAAGTAACTAAATAGGTTGTTGACTTCTCACAAACGAAAAATAAAGTATATTTACTGCCAAAAGGTTAAAAGCACAATATAGCAAAGAAACTCTCCCATAAACTTAAACCCATGTGCTCTCAGAAAGAATTAGTATTCGACTCCTGCGTAAATAGAATGCTAAGATCACTGAAATGTAGTGAGACACTGAAAAGAAGGAAAAGCCACCCAGAGACTGGTAACAATCCATATGTTAAATTAAACATTTGACAATTTAAAGATGAGTATGAACTGGATAATGAAATAAGTCACCTTGAAACAAAATCAAAAGAGCAACAAAAATTTAAAATGAGGCAGGAAAAAGCCCAGCCCTCTTTTGAGGGTAACTGCTGTTCTGCCTTTCCCGGTCATGTCTACAGTGGTGACCGAGCCTCCTGCAGTTTCCCTCCCCTGAAGTCAGGCCACCCCTCGGCTGCCAGCTGAGTCCGGCTCCCCAGGCTCTGCGTTCAGTGTCTTTGCTTTTCTTTTGCTCTCCCTCAATGCCCAGTTATTGTACCAACTGCCATTTGCCAGCAAGAAGAATGCACAGATGCCCTTCCTAAGAAATGCATACACGGGAAGCTTGGCAGTTTTAAACAGCACATCTGAAAATGGTGCCTGCAAAGCTGTGCAAAGCATCCCCCAGATCCTGCGGGTACCCGCCAGTGCCTGTGATCTCCTGCCTGCCCCACGATCCCCCAGCAGGGCCCTGCAATGCAGGGAGAGCCCCACACTCACCATCACGTCCTCCGGGCGCCGTGGCCAGCGGTGCTCCCCATGAACACTTCTTCTTCAGCTCCAGCTGCTGCGTGCGTTCCATGGACCGGCGCATCATCGCCTCCAGCCGCTCCTGTCCAGTTCGTGCAAGGCGTCAGTGTCAACGGAGAACAAGATTAACCACCCGGCCCCACCGCACTGCCGCCTCAGTGTGCGGCGCAGGGTGAGTCACCAAATGGGGCTTTCTGTGCTTAGCATCCAAAGCCCAGCACACGTGCTCTCTCCACCACACCAGCCCGTTCCTAGTGGGTGGAGAGTAAACAATGCAGCTAGGCTAGCGCTGGCAGCTGAACGCGAACACCGTGTCCCCTCCCTTTCCGTCCCTGGGGAGAAGCTGCCTAAGGATAATGCCCAGCAAGCATTAACTCCTTGAGGCCTGTCTCAAGCCCCATTTTGCCCTATCCAGTAGGAGAACTGGAATTTTGCTCCAGAACCAACTGCATCCTCTCCAGTTGAAAGCAGAAAGCATTCTGTTATGAGAAAATTTAAATTAAAATATAATGCTGAGTTTTTGTAGCCTTAAATATAACTTTTTAGGGTGATACATGACATTGAGATCTATTTTGCAAAGCCCCGTGTTTATCTTAGAACTTCTTAAAGGGGAAGCAATTGTTTTCTATATTGTAATACTTTTCTGCTGCATTCTATTTTCCAGATAATATTGTATGTTTCAAAATTTAAGAGAGACAAGAGTAGGTAGACTTCTAGTCACAAAATAAAGCATCCATGCATTCCCAGAGTTAGGTAGGCTTAGGGAGGGGTGGGAAGATAGAACTCAACAATTTTTAATCAGAAGAGAAAACAACCACCAGGCTTCTCTCTTAACAAGATTTATCAAAAGCACTCTCCTGTATTAACTAAATTGTTATTTTCATAAAGTTGTCCTTGGTATTGGAATGAAGGTGTTCTCATTCTGCACTCCCCACCACCTCAATGACACTGCAAATACCAACTCCTCTCCCCACCTCCACTAAGCAAGGCTGGCAGTTACAATGACACCCTTTAGCCCTCATCAAACCCAACCCTGTGGTGCTCCAGGAACTGGGCTAATGCTAGCCTGACTCCAAAACAAAAAGATACAATTTTCTCATGGCTTAAAAAAACAACCAAGCAAAATTAATTTAGGACAGCCATCAGCTGAGTAGCCATGACTTTAAAGATCAGGAAAAGGCTCTTTCCTGTCACTTACTAGACCATAAAGGTCATTTAGTAGGTATCTGGATTTATCCCTTTTGTCTATACCAGAGGGATGAGACGAGCATTTGGTTTCTGCACATCTTAGCCTCCTCTGCATAATTTTTCTCTGAATAGCACTTTGCTAAGAGACTGCCTCTCCAGGGACCTGTGAACAGAAAGGGGGATTTTTTGCCTCCTGTCTCATATTTGTATTGGCTATTAATTGTGCTCTGGTTTTTGGCCTGAGATGCTATAATCATGAGTGTGCATTTCCTGGCAGAGTCCTGTCATCACGACCCTGGCCCATTAAATTATGATGGCCAACCCTGGCGATCTGCCCGCTAAAAGCTGGGGCTTGGAGGCAACAGAATTCCTCCACCATTTGATGCCTGAAGTATGGCCACTCAAGACTAAGGCTGAACGGTATTTCATTACATGGATTTAACAGAAAGTAATTAACCAACGACCTATTTTGAGTGTTGAAACCATTCACCCTAGAGTCAATTTAGTATTGGGTGGGTTATGGTAGATTTCCTACATGCCAGAAGGACCTACAAGATTAGTCCCTTCTCTCCTACGGGACCAATGAGAATGAAGAACAGAGACTCACTGAGCCACCCTCACCACTGAGCAGCTACTGGGGACATAATTATAAGGGAATGCTTACTTAAAGCCAGACCTACCCTGAACCTGTTCAGTTACCTTTAGAAAAACTACCTCTGCCATCCACCTCCAGTCCACTGAGCTGCTCCAAGTTCTACCCCTGGAGATTCATTCCCTTGGACCTTGAGTAGGCTGATGAAAGTATAGCTATATCTGAGAGAAAGACACAATCACTCTGTATGGCCCACTTTTGGAGAGGTGATACAAAAGAGGTAGTAAACTTCTCTCTTGAGCCAATGGAGCTGGAGTCCATTCTGCTAAGTATGATGAAAATGGAAAAACAAGCACCGCATGTACTAACCATCAAATTGGTATTAACTGATCAACACTTATGTGTACATATAGTAGTAACATTCATCGGGTGTCGGGCAGGTGGGAGGAGAAGGAGGGGATGGGTAAATTTACACCTAATGGGTGCGGTGCGCACCGTCTGGGGGATAGACACACTTGAAGCTCTGACTCAGGTGGAGCAAAGGCAATATATATAACCTAAACATTTGCACCCCTGTAATATGCATATGCTGAAATAAAAAATTAAAAGTAAAAAAGACATGGTAAAGCTCTAAGAGGATTTATGGAACCCAAAAAATGTCTACATGGGGTGATTCAAACATGTCAAAAACAAAACTTGTCCACTGCACTCTTATTAGAGATTAGTCCTGTATAGGTCAGTATTGCCTCATGTCCATATGTACCTTTGTGTTCCTTCATGTAATGAAATGAAAAGAATTCTATATTTGGAGTCAGGAGGTAAGGATTCAAGTCTCATCTCTGCCTGCCACTTTTTAGCCCTGTGACCTTGAGCTAATCATTTCGCATTCTTGGGCTTTAGTTTTCTTACCTATAAAATGGGGATGATCTTACCTACGTCACCAGATCACTCTAAATCTATGCCATCATGACTAGCATGTGGTAAATCCTTAACCAATGCTAACTGAATCTGAATTTGAAGAGGAGGATTATTAACAAGATGGTTTAGACCAGTGGCACTCAAACTTAAGGGTTCATGCATCAGAATTCCCTGGGCAGCTTGTTAAAATGCAGGCTGTTGGGGTTTATCCCCAGGGTTTCTGAGTTAGGAGCCTGAGAATCTGCATTTCTAACAAACTTCCAAGTGCTTCTAGTCCTGGGACCTCACAGTGAGAGCCACTGGTTAGAGAAAGGGCTGAGCATGAGAAAGCAAGAAAAAGTCCCATCACATCAGAAAAACAGCATTAATAAGTATTAGAAGTGCAGACTGCAGTTCCTGCCAAGTTCTGGTTCTCCCAACTAGCATCTGATTATTGCCAGAGGACAGGGAAAGAGCAAGGCAAATTCTTGTCCCTAGAACATTCCTATTGGGGGGGCTTAGTGCAAGGAAGGAGCCTCACCCCTGACTCCTTGAGCTTTGGCTCTAGATCTGCCTGGATGAACTTGGAGAAATGTGCCCAAGGTGACCCACTGAGCTTGCTGAGCAGAATAGGCATGGCCCAGACAGCAGTCTCTGGCAGGAGTCGGAGCTGGTACAGCAGGAGCTGTACCTTTTCCACTGCTCTTATTATTATATATGTTCTGGGGATGACACTGTAGGAACAAGCCCCCAGTGATCCTCATCAGGGCCCTGTAAGGGGGCCTTTCTCTCTGCAAACAGATGTCCACATCTGCCTTGGCACAGACATGAGGCATTACCAAGAGCAACATCATGGCAACCACAGGAACATGGAGCCAGTGCAGGGCTGGGTGGGGGTCAACAGGCCTCTTATGAACTCCTAAACATCAGATCCAGGGAGGTAGGTCTTGCTGGGTAACACAATTTCCAATAGGTTAGAGAAGCAAAATGGCTTGCTCAGGACGAACGATCTTCCTGCAGAGGCTTTTCTCTGGTTGACAGAGACAGAGCATGACAAAACGAACTTAAATCCGATACTGAGAAGAGAACAGAGAGTCTCTACAGCCAGGCAACGAGCAGGCAGCAGCCCTCCTGCAGCTCTCCTTGAAACCACGGGGGCCAGCACAGAGGCTTTCCCTTGGAGAGGGGCTGCCGCAGCGTGGGCCTATCCCTTCTCCCTGAAGGTCACCCGTGACAATTCCAAACAGGCCTCTGTACTGCCAGAGCACCGACTCTAATGTGGTTAATGGGCCAGCCTGCGTGTGGCAAATCCCTAAGCTATACCTGGGTCTACCGGGACCCTGGGGGCAGGAGCAGGTGGCAGAGGATGGCTGCCGCTTCCTGCAGTTGCTACACAACCGCAGGAGGCCCAGCCCTCAACCCTGCCCTGCTGTGCCCAGGGAGAAGAGGAAAGCAAGCTCAGCTCGTGCTTGTGCTGAAGAGGGTCAGGTGGCATCCCCCCTCTCCCCCGCCCGACCACATTAGGGGTGCAAGGAAGCACACAAGCAAACAGAAATTATCTGGAAGTGAAACCACTGAAGATTCTGCTGCATCAGGACCAACCATCTGGCATGACATGCCCTCATCTGCAAGAAGGGGGAGTCTGGCTGGTTAATTTAACATGCCTCCGGCACTAATGTTCTAGAAAGGAAAATTATAGACAGAAATTGTCTCAAAAGCAGACCCCTGTGACACTGTAGGATGTAGCAGAGCATAGGAAGTGTCTAATGTGACTTCACAGTGCCCCTTCCTGGAAGCAGCAGCCACAAGCTTTCACTTGAATCAGCAATCCCACAGGATGTCAGGAATTGAGAGACAGACAGACAGACAGATAGACACACACACATACACACGCCAGGGAGGAAGAGGACAAGCTCTAAGTCATCAAGGAATGGAGGATGGGAAGAAAATGGGCGAGTCCAGTGACTTATGACAAATACCCAGGTTAGGAAAGGAGAAATCTGTCTCAAGTTACCAAAACAGCCTATCACACTGTGGCTTTTTCCTTAGTCTATAGACTCTTTTCTATAATCTTTTCCCGGTAGCTCCCTCTTGACCTTGCTTCAGCTGAGGTCAGCTGAAGTAACTAAGAGGAATCTAACATTTCTGAGTGATTTACTCTGTGCTAGGTGCTTCACTGGGAACTTTCACAAAAGTCACCTCCCTGAATTCCCATAACCACCTCTATTTTGGGCTGAAGAGACAGAGGCATATGTGACTTGCCCCTGGCCACCAGCTGCTTAGTAGTAGAGCTGGGATTTGAACTGGGAGCAGATGAAGCCACAGCAATCAGACTGCAGCCAGCAATGGTGAACCGTGGCTAAGACCCTTGCACAGACCTTCCTTTGCTAACAAGAACAAAGGAATCACCGTAAAAGGGTGATTCCTGGGCAAAGATGTCTGTGTGCACACGCGTTTGTATGTGTTCTTTAAATTAAAAAAAGAGGAAGGGGTAAATATAGTGATAAATTGTTCAGAGACTTAAATACTGAATTTATACAAACGTTTTTGTACCCTATAGTGTTGAAGATTAAAAAAATAAAACAAAACAAAACAAAAACTCTAAATCGGGCCAGGTGCAATGGCTCATGCCTGTAATCCTAGCCCTCTGGGAGGTCGAAGCAAGAGGATTGTTTGAGGTCAGGAGTTCAAGACCAGCCTGAGCAAGAATGAGAACCCGTCTCTACTAAGAAACAGGAAAATTAGGCCAGGTGCTGTGGCTCACGCCTGTAATCCTAGCACTCTGAGAGGCCGAGACAGGTGGATTGTTCGAAGTCAGGAGTTCGAAACTAGCCTGAGCAAGAGTGAGACCCCGTCTCTACTATAAATAGAAAGAAATTAATTGGCCAACTAAAAATATATACAAAAAATTAGCCGGGCATTGTGGTACATGCCTGTAGTCCCAGCTACTCGGGAGGCTGAGGCAGTAGGATAGCTTAAGCCCAGGAGTTGGAGGTTGCTATGAGCTAGGCTGATGCCATGGCACTCTAGCCCAGGCAACAGAGTGAGACTCTGTCTCAAAAAAAATAATAAATAAATAAAAAAAGAAATAGGAAAATTAGCCGGGCGTGGTGGTGTGTGCCTATAGTCCCAGCTACTCAGGAGGCTGAGGCAGGAGAATCGTTTGAGCCCAGGAGTATGAGGTTGCTGTGAGCTAGGCTGATGCCATGGCACTCACCCAGGTGACAGAGCAAGACTCTGTCTCAAAAAAAAAAACAAAAAACCCTCTATATTGTTCATACTAAAAGATGAGTCATCAGAGTCATCGTACCTTATGAATAAAAAATGATCATCACCTGATACAAGGTGATGAATACATTCTTAAAATACAATTGTTAAGAAAATCTATAATACAAATATGCTTTCTAAATATATATTCAAAGCCTAGTTATAAAGGACTCTGTAGGGGTAATTACATTCCATTTCTTCTTTAAAAGGTAACCAGAAAGAAACGGTGATTAAAGCAAAGAACTACATTAAAATTTAAATACACTAGCATCTTGGTATTTGAAGGTAGACTCATTTTCCAGTGGTGACTCACAGGATCATGTTGTTCTTGAGCCTCACAGCTCTTGCTCCGGCCTTGCGTCTGCCCTGTAGGCAGAGACTCCCATCTGTGACCCTCAGGGCCACATCACTCAGCACCTACCCACCATCCCCCTCTGAGTCTTGATGCAGGGGTCCTCAAACTTTTTAAACAGGGGGCCAATTCACTGTCCCTCAGACCGTTGGAGGGCCGTTGGAGAGTGCGGCACACATTCCACACATGCGCACCGTGGGCCGGGAACGAGTCGGCTGCTAAGCAGGACAGGCAGTGGCGGCAAAAACACCCAGCGGGAAGGCCCAGCGGTGGCTCATGCCTGTAATCCTAGCTCTCTGGGAGGCCGAGGCGGGCAGATTGCTCAAGGTCAGGAGTTCGAAACCAGCTTGAGCAAGAGCCAGACCCGTCTCTACTATAAATAGAAAGAAATTAATTGGCCAACTAATATATATAGAAAAAATTAGCCAGGCATGGTGGCGCATGCCTGTAGTCCCAGCTACTCGGGAGGCTGAGGCAGCAGGATTGCTTAAGCCCAGGAGTTTGAGGGTGCTGTGAGCTAGGCTGACGCCATGGCACTCACTCTAGCCTGGGCAACAAAGTGAGACTCTGTCTCAAAAAAAAAAAAAAAAAAAACCGGCGGGCCGGATAAATGTCCTCGGCGGGCCGCATGTGGCCGGCAGGATATAGTTTGAGGACCCCTGATTTAGAGTCAGCAAAGGTTAGGCCTGGAAAGGGCCCTGGAGACTGCCAAATCCAACCCTCTCACTTCAGAAACAAGCAAATCAAGGTCCAGAGAAGCCAAGCAGCTTGCCCAATGTAACACAGCAAATCAACGCCTGAGTTGAATGGGTCTGTCTGCTCCCATGTCTGTGTCACTGAAAAAAGGCACAGTGAGCCCCCCGGAGAAGGTGCAGGGTGGGCTACCCAGGCGCCCAGGGCATTAAGCCCCATGGGAGCTGCCAAGGTAGCAGGGGTGGGGACTCCCGGACCTCACCTCCTCCTCCCGAAGTTTCTGCTTCCTCTTCTCTTCCACGGCAGCCCTCTTCTGGTCCTCCCGTTGCCGCTGCTCCTCCAGTTTGCGCCATCGCTCCTCAATTTGCTTTTCGTATTGGAGCTTGGCTCTTTTCTGTTTCTCCAGGATCTGCTGTTCCCGGGCGGCTGGGGAAGGAAAGCAAAGGAGAGGTGCCATGACCAGAGCACCCCGTGCCATCTGGCTTAAGACCAAAACCACAGAAGTAAGAGCGGAGAACAAAAAAGAGCCTGATGGGATCCCAGGATGCAGTGATGGAGACAAAGGGTTCTGACACCTCTGCCACTAGCTGGGTGACCCTGGGCATGTTAACTGTATACTCTTTCTGCCTCGGTTTCCTCCTCTGTGAGGTGAGGCCAGTCATGTTTGCTGCATCACAGTATCGAGAAGATTCGAAGGAGTCCATACTCATAAAGCACACAGCAAGTGCCTCGACAGGTGGCAGCTGTGACGATGACTGGTATCAAGTTAAACTTGTACACAGTGGCTAAGCCATACTCTGGGTTGAGAAGTGATAGCTGTAAGGGCACATTCATTCAAAAGCAGGTTAGCTGTGCATGCGCCACGTACCAGACACTGAGCTAGGTCAGAGGGTAAAACACATGAGTAAGATTGGCCTTACCCTCAAGACATCTACTAAGGGGCTCTTAACTCCACCTGGCCAAGTCAGGGAAGGGTTCCCTGGAGGAGGCAATGCCTGAACTGACCAGCAGGAGACAGTCAAGGAGAAGAACTGGAAAGGGCTTCATTTTTCTCCATTCAATGGGGAAACCACTATCTACCTACCTCATGGCACCCTGTGGACAACATTCCGTACTTCTCTGTCTATACCCTGCAAGAGGCGAGAATCCCTTTCTCAACCAGGGTTCCGTGTCCTAACATACAAAAATGACTTAAGTGCCAATTTTTCTCAGTTCTCCCAAGGATGGCCCTTCTGGATGCCCAGGAGGGAACCCGAGTGAGTACACATAGTAGCCACCTGAAAGCATTGAGACTTCCTCAGATTGGGGACAGTGACTGCTTCTCTACCTGCACTTTCGTATCTGCAGCCCCTAGCACGGTGCCTAGAACACACAGCAGAGTTTCAATGTGTGCCAAGTGAGTGAATGAACTGTCCTGATAATTATAAAATATTTGTGAACATGCCAGTGGCAGTGTAGGTTCACACCCAATTCTTCAAGTCCATCTAGCAACTGTCCTTGTTCTCTTCCCATTCGTTCGCAGATTTCTAAGGATCTTCAGAAAAGCCACCACCCTGTCTCCACTCTCTTAGACTTAAACAGCCAAAGTGCACAACTTACCCAGACATTTCTCTCTTTCTTCTCGTCTTTCTTTGGCCAATCTCTGTCTCTCGTCGGATTTCAAAAATCCATCCATGCCTACGAGAGAGAAAACTAGATGATTTTCCAGTTCTTCACTCTTGCCCTATCTGCTGAGTGCTAGGGGAACTGGGTGTGTGCCCTGAGTCTGGCTGCAGGTCCATGTCATCCATCCCTGTCACTTCTTCCAAAGGAGGTCCGATCTGCCACCCTCCAATACACACACACACACACACACACACACACACACACACACACACACACAGACACATTCTTCTCTGCGCAGGCACGGCTTCTACACGCACCTGCCCAGTGCCATAGTAGTGTCAACACCAGCCCAGAGAATCTAGCCCTTTCCCTAATCCTCTGTCCCAAGGCCTGACCCTGGAGGGGTCAGAAAAAGTGCAGTAAGGGACAGAGGGGCCTGGTAGCATGCAGAGAAGCCCACTAGGCCTCCCCTAGCCTAGCTTCCAGGCCTGAAGCAGGACTACCTGGGGGAGGGGGAGAAGCACGAAGTTGATGAGATTGTGGATGTTGATCATTACACAGATACTGAACATTCTACTTTCTGAAAGGAGCCCATTTGCTGAGGGACATGTACGAGCTCCTTGGTGAGCACTGTGAAATACAACACTCAAGTTTGATTTTAGTTCTGCTAAATTTGTGCCAATGTCAATCTTAGTATCTTAGAATCATTCTACTATCTACAACAAATGAGATGAAACAAATGACAGCTCCCCCCAAAATGCCTGGGAAATATCCTGGAGCTCTGCATCTCAATTCAACCTGTGCAGGATACTAAAGGGCTTTCTAAATCAAAGATTAAACAGACCTTCGTGGTAATTTTAGGATTAGAAATGCTTTACTCGCTGGGTGGCTCACGCCTGTAATCCTAGCACTCTGGGAGGCCAAGGCGGGTGGATCACTCAAGGTCAGGAGTTGGAAACCAGCCTGAGCAAGAGCGAGACCCCGTCTCTACTAAAAATAGAAACAAATTAATCGGCCAACTAAAAATATATAGAAAAAATTAGCCGGGCCTGGTGGCGCATGCCTGTAGTCCCAGCTACTCAGGAGGCTGAGGCAGGAGGATTGCTTGAGCCCAGGAGTTTGAGGTTGCTGTGAGCTAGGCTGAAGCCACGGCACTCTAGCCCGGGCAACAGAGCAAGACTCAGTCTCAAAAAAAAAAAAAAAAAAGAAAAGAAAGAAATACTTTACTCTGCCACAGTTGGTTGTACACAAGTATTATCTATATAATGTTTAAGTGCACCATTCTAGAGAAATCGACTTTAGTGTTAATACAACCAGATTCACTTTCCCAGCATCTGGGCCTTCCTCTCTGGGAGCATCACACGCTGATTTCTTAGCGTGTCTTGTTGCCATAGCAACCTACACTCACTCCAAAGAGGTTCCTGCCGCTGTCCAGGAGACCGGCCTGAGGACTGGCTTGCAGTGCAGGCAGTGGGAATGTGGAAGGGGGATGACGTGACCAGCACTGGATTGTCAAGATTCTCCACATGCGTCTGGTTTTGCAGCCTGGATTATGTGTCAGAGATATTAAAACCGAAGAGAAAAGTACTAGAAAATCAACCTCAGACTCCAAGTGTCTTTCCCCATGTTTGTATTTAGTCAACTCTTAATCATTAAGATGTTGCCAACAATATGAATGTCAGTAAGAATTTAAAGGCCCAACTTGGCCAGGCATGGTGGCTCATCTCTGTAACCCCAGCGATTTGGGAAGCTGAGGTAGGAGGATCACTTGAGGCCAGGAGTTCATGACCAACCTCAGCAACATTGTAAGAACCTATCACTCCAAAAAATAGAAAAATTAGCTGGATGCAGTGGCATGCACCTATAGTCCCAGCTACTTGGGAGGCTGAGGTGGGAGGATCACTTGAGCCCAGGAGTTTGAGGCTGTGTTGAGCTAAGGCTGTGCCACTGTACTCCAGCCTGGGTGACAGAGTGAGATCTCAACTCTAAAAACAGTAAAATAAAATAAAAGCTCAACTCCTCAGCTCAGTCCAGGCCCCCCACAATCTGACTCCAAACTCTCTTCTCAACTTGACCTCAGCACTGCCCTTTCTCCCATGTACCTTCTGGCTCATACTACCCCTTCTTCTATCTATTCCCTGCCACCATCTACCTTCAAGACCCCACCACTCCCCAGACCCATGATGGCCTATGCTCCCACATGGTTCAAGGAACCCTCATTTCATTCTGCTTTCCTGAAAGTTCTCCGTCTGTAACTCAGTCTCTCCTAGTGGGCGCCAGAGCCATGCGTGGCTGACACTTCTCTGGATCTGCCCAGCTGTGGCCACTGTTCCTCACACAGAGGCCCCAATGTGTACACACAACGCTCAAAGGCAGGCATGAAGTTAGTGGAAGGGGGGCAGGGAGAGAAAAATCAGGTTTCTCCTTTCTCTAAACATTTTCAGGTTCTAGTCTGTAGCTCAAGAGTTTAATTAATCAGAATGAGTTCAGTGTGAAAAACTACAAAGGAAAGCCGAGGATGCCTGGACAGATACTTGCATCAGCACCTGCACCAACCCGCCCACCCAGGCAGGACCTGAACCTTGCTCGGTACCGTCCCCACCCCCCTCTAGATGTCAACAGGCCTGCCCTATGTCTAAGGTAAGCCTGAGAACTACTGAAAGTAGTCTTCGAACAGAGGAAAGAAAGAAAAACGGAGAAGAGAAAGGGCTCAGCACATCTGAAACTGCTCACATTACCTTGACGCTTTGCAAACAGAAGGCTGCTAGTTCCACAAACATGCATGATCCTAGGCTGCCCTCTCATGGGCACACGTAAGAGTCACACCTTAAAATCACTGCCTTTCCAGAAAAGCTTTATTTATCATGTTCATAATCACCAGCATCATCATAATAGGAGAGAGCAATTGAGCAGTTACTATGGACCAAGTGCACTGTTTGGATTTACTTGGCCCAACCACCTTATGATGATGGAGGTGCTGTCACAATCCTTGTCTTATAGGTGTGGAAACAGAGGCACAGAGAGGCTGACCTGTCCTAGGTCACGCTGTCAGAAAGTGGAAAAGTCAGATTCCGAGGCAAGAACCTGACTCTTGGACCCACACACTTTTTTTTTTTTTTTGTTCAAGACAGAGACTCACTCTGTTTCCCAGGCTAGAGTGCCGTGGTATCAGCCTAGCTCATGGCAACCTCCAACTCCTGGGCTCAAGCGATCCTTCTGCCTCAGCCTCCAGAGCAGCTGGGACTACAGGCATGTGCTACCATGTCCGGCTAATTTTTTCTATATATATTTTTAGTTGGCCAATTAATTTCTTTCTATTTATAGTAGAGCCGGGGTCTCGCTCTTGCTCAGGCTGTTTTCGAACTCCTGACCTTGAGCGATCCTCCCACCTCGGCCTCCCAGAGTGCTAGGATTACAGGCGTGAGCCACCGCGCCTGGACAGACTCACACTCTTAATTACTGCTTTCCTATGCTGCTTCCTCCTCAAAGCAAGAAATGCAACACCTGGATCTTAGTGCTGTGACCCAGTGACACACACAGGGAACAAATCCTAACCTAGTCGCAAAAATGAGCCTGCAAATCCAGAGAGCAGGAGTGCAGGTCTAACTCATTAGAGAAGCATGAAGCAAGCAGTACTGCGAGCCAAGCACAGGCCCAGCTGGGCACAGATGTGGGAACTGCCCCGGCAGGCTAATTATTAGCTTCTTTCCTCCTCAAACTGATGGTTTAGAGATGTTTGCTCAACAATAATTTAGAGAGGCTGCTGCTGGGTGGGGAAGGGGGAGGGTCGCCAGAGGACCCTGGGGGTAACTGCAGGTGCCAAGCAATTCAGCTTTGCTCCACTGAGGTGGCGTGGAGTGACTCGAACAGTCCAACATGGGTGACCCAGAATCTCTGCATTGTTCATTTGGTATCCACAAGGCACACATGGCTATTTGAATTGAATATAATCAAAATTCAATACATGGGCAGGTGGGAGGGGGGCGGGGGGCGGGTATATACATACATAATGAGTGAGATGTGCACCATCTGGGGGATGGTCATGCTGGAAACTCAGACTTATGGGGGGGGGAGGGCATTTATTGAAACCTTAAAATCTGTTCCCCCATAATATGCCGAAATAAAAAAAAAATCATTTTTATCAGAAAAAAAAAAACTCAATACAATTACGAGTTTGGTTCCTCAGTCACACTGGGCACATTTCAGGCACTCAGCCACATTTCTGGTGGCTGCCACCCTGCACAGCATTGAATGAGAAGCCCGGCGGCTCCCGCTCATGATTCCCTCCTTTCACGCTTGGCTGCCCCGCGGCAGATGTGCACAAGGGAGATCTCAGAGTTCAATCAGGGTTGAGATTTGCTGCATGAGTTAAGACTAAGGTCGGGCCGTCTCCCTTTCTCCACATGGCATCTGCCTGTCCCATTTAACTGTCAAGCAAACATTTCAAGAACATCCACTGGAAGAGGAACCGAATAGTTAACTCACATCTCCAGCTTCAACCTTGTGACTCTCAATGACTCCTGGAGCCTGCGGAGAAGCCCCTGAGCGCATCCTGAGGCAAGAAGGAATACAGCATAAACCATGGCCCCCATTTCTTAGGGGCCGTCAACTTGACCAGTTATTACCAGTATCACAACCCAGCCAGGTCTGAACCAGAGGAACCGAGGTAGATTATCACCAACAGTGACACCAGGAGACACCCTCTAAAGTCACAGCATATCCAAGAGTTAAGGCTGAATTTGGTTCCAAAGGGAAGTCTTTCTGTATGGCCTGAAATCCTAAAGCGTCCAGTTTTCCCACCCATTTGTCCTTTGTCCATGTGTCTTATATGCGTACACATATTGTCTTTCTTTTTTAAAACCAGGAACCCAATCTTATCTTTGAACTCTATGAGAACTGATGGAAAAGAGATCCGTGCTTTCGTGCTTGCCAGGCTGGGGAAGGGGCGGGAGGGAAGTGGCTAGCTATGACATAAAAGGCCATCTAGGGGTCCTTATGTGGATGAAACTCTTCCCTATCTTGACTGTATCGCCATCGGCATCCTGGTTGTGATACTGTACTGTACTTTTGCA